TAAAATCACCGCCTTAGAGCGCTCGGCCATCGCGCACTGATACCATACTTTGCAGTTTTCTCTAATATAAACATTAAAATGGATTAAAAACGGCTTCGCGTGCTGGATGCTTCGCGGCAGCTCCATTAAACGGGCCCTTCTTTTACTTATGCAATGCATATTGGCACGAACTTAGATCAACATCTATCGGCAGCTGTTGTTTTTGGAAGTTTATTTTAATCTTCATGTCAACAATGCAAGATAAAATTGTCGGTAAGATCGATCGAGATTCAATTGTATTGAAATTACCGACCAATTCTTCGCACACGTACGGTATCCTCGATCGCTCAGACCATTTTTTAACATGTAAACCTATGGGTATTTCACCAAGACTGAACTATTTTCCCGGTAACCATGGTTACTGGGATTTTAGAACTATTTTTTAGAACTATTACATGGGTTTGGAATTTTACCGGGAATTTTACAGGAATAGTTAAAGTTTATGAATGCAATTTCGACCAATCAGATGGCTGGATTTCTTAAGTGAGGTATATAATACATATTATTCACTTATAGTAACAAATTATTTTTTTTTTAACTGGAGGTTATTTTACTGGTAATCCCAGATCCCCCTCCCTCACACAAACAAACACACACACACACGCACACACACACACACACTCCTCAGTGGATGTCTGCTAACATTCTCAACTCAAGACAAATATACTAAGTATGTAAGTTATTAACCAGGCTGCAAAATAGAGTTACACTTTAACAAGCTCACGGTGGAGAGGAAAACCAATCTTAATTGATACTAAGCTGCTCCCACATGTAATTCCAGCTTTCCTATTCTAATGGCTATTTTTCTTTTCCTCATCCCTATAATCAAAATAGTTTTCTTCATCTTTTCTAAAGTTGGTACTTGTCCCGCCGATCTTGACATAAATATAACATACTTCACCATGAAAATTAAAGTATTACATATTTTTTACTCTATTTGAACTACCTGCCAACCCAGTCACACACGCACGCACACACACACATACATATGCTGATTTTTAACCAAAAGGAGAAATAAACTTGAATTGAATTGATTTGTCTTAAATTGTCCTTATTGTCTTTCTTTGAACCAGGTACTAGTAACGAAAAGATCTGGATGATTGCAATTGGCCACTACGGTAGCAACATTGAATACTTGTAAGTTAACTTTATAATAAATAGGCCATTATCGTCCAACTCGCAAAGTTACTCAGGGGGTTCATAAAGTTTTCAGTGATTCAGCTTTTTTCCTACTAAATATGGTTTAAAGTTATATAACCTTGTAATCAGTTATTGTTAAAGGTAAAGACCAGTTATAGCCAGGGTAATTATGCTGCATTATTGTAGAGCGCTTAGAGACTTCTGACAAAGTAAGTGTTAGGCGCTATATAAGCACTGTAATTATTATTATTATTATTATGGTCATGCGATTGCATTGTAAAAGAAACGTTGTGGAATCGATCAGAAAAGGTTGATCATCTAGCATATAAGTATTGTGTGTGTACTGCAAGGTTCTGGAATCATCAAAATGACAAGAAATTTGGCCCAGTCTTCGTAAAGTTACAAGCACTGTACACAGAAAGATGTATATGGGACTATACGCACACGTGCGCGACACGTGCGTTTATCTCTCACAGACCATGGATAAACTAATTTACCAAATATATCAATTAGTAGGCGGTTTCCCGGCAAATTTTTTATCATCATGTATTAGTCCAAACATATTCTTTCACATGATTGGTAATAAGAGCTTCCATTTCATTTTTTTGAAATTGGGGCGTTTCCAATACTGGTCTTTACCTTTACCTTGTAATTATGTTTTTAAAGTTACATAACCTTGCCATTTCCTAAATCAGTTTTGTACATTACCATGTTTGTTGTTGTTGTAAATGAACTTCTTGATCTCGGTTGGCGGACTCTAGATCTGGGACTGCTTGTTTTGGGGGCTCTGCGCGCGTGAGACTGTATCGTATCCATGATCGTATCCTACCATATTTCATGTTTTGAATTGCGCGGATCCTTGAAACACGTTGGTCTCTTTGCAAATCCGCCGGGATTGAGAGGTCCATCCTTCACAGGGGCCCCACTCACAAGCATTGCTTTTGGAGGTCTCATTTTTGATTATGTTTGTTATTCATGATTGCTATGTCATGGTTTTTTAATAAACTGAACTGAACTGAACTACGCCCAAAATGTGTTTACATTTTAAGCAGTTGCTATCTTAGAAATCCCCAAGCAACATAATGAAAAAAAGGGTTTCAATAGGCTATTATATGAAGACATCAGTCAGCTAGATAAAACAAAAACATGAACAAAAGACAGTGGTATGCCCTCACCCACTTAGTACCTTATTGCATGATCATCTCATAATCGATGTTTTATCATAACTTAATCACAAATAAATGAATGACACATATTGTAAAGCTTAGATCCTCCTCTTTTATACGATGTATATATGATGCTTATTTTATGCATGAGTGATTAAAAACAATTTGAAGAAAGGGTATCAAAAAATCATTTGGCGAACGGTATCAGAATTTCAAAGAGAAAATCACATTTCAGAAAGTTCATTTTCTGCCCTTTAATATGACACCTCAATCAGGAAAAATGAGCAAGGAATAACAAAGTTATGTTTGTTTAAAGTAATGCTTGCATTTCCATAATGTTATTAAACCAATTAGTTTTCACTGGCTGCCTGCCGTAGTATAAACAAACAAACAAACTCCGTTTCGTGCATGACGATTAGCCCCGAGATCAGCCGTGCATGAAGTCTATCGTCTTTAAGTTCTTTGTTGTTAGGGCAGCTAGCAGAGAGCTAGTGGAACGGATTCTCGGGGTGATTATGATTTGCATGTAGAATGTTATTGATACCGGTGAGGCTACCCTGGATAAATACGACATAATCTATTATAAGGATTATTATTACAATTTATTTGACGTTCTTGTATAGCTTCCGGTGTACGCCCCTTTGTGTACTCAGACGCATCCCACGCAACGGCCCACTTCTTCCCCAAGTTCAATATAATTATTATCTTCGTCGGGCTTGTACGTGTGTCATATCGATCTACGTGCCAGGGCCTCATTTCGGAAAACTTGTCATCAGTGACAAATGACAATTTTTCTTATAAGCTAGTGAAATCCTTGCTTCTGATTTGTTATCAGCAGATTTGTCACTGATTTTTGTCATTTGTCATTGAAAAAAGTCTTTGTCAAACGGATCCCTGGCTCTTTGGGGTTGTTCAAATGCACATTTTTGGAAGTTCGGCGGGTAGCCAGAGTATTTATGAATAGTATACAAAATTATTTGAAACATGCCATTAAATTTCATAAGAAGGCCAGTGCCTGAGGAGTGGCAGCTTTGCATGAATAAGTATATTGCAGTGAAGGTATGAAGTGAACATTATTTCCCTGTTGGATTCGTCTTTGTACCTTACTATAAGGCCTACACAAAAAACTGTTGTATTGCCCTTTAAGTGCCGGAACCTGGGTCGGTCGGTCGGAGTTCCTTGTTTCTCCCCCCCCCCCCCTCAAAACAGCGAACGTAGCCCCCAAAACAATTAAAAACGGGAACGTCGCCCAAATCTTGTTGGTTGTTATAGCTGGTGCAGTGGATGGTATATATATATACGTACACGGGTCTACTTGTTTACGCTAGCAGGATTTCGAAGCTAGGGCAGAAGCCAGAAGACGAGTGAGAATTTTTGAATAATTTGATGATTGTTTGGATTTATATCCCATTTAAACAAACAAAATACATATTTGTGTATTCATTAAACATGTTTTATCTAATAAAAGGAGAAAATATTAAAAAGCCCACCATTGATTTGGGGGTCGTTCGCAAAGGGGAATACAACATCTTCTTTTTACCCCTTTTTAGGCTTGCGTCTCTTATAATTATGTCGTTTGTCTACCAATATCTTCGCGTTCTCATTGACCTTTCTTGACCTTGACCTTTGATCTTTGACGCAGGGATGAAGAGACTTACACCATCCGGGGATTTAATCCAGATATAGTGGATGCGGGTAAGAATAAGAAACACTCGGTTTTTATCGAAAATAATATCGCTAGTGATATTCGTTTGTCTCGCAATGTATGGTCAACAAGGGTTTAAAAGATCACGACTTTTCGTGCGCCGCTGCAACACTTCGTCAGGTGATAAAATATATTGTAAGCAAGCGTCTTTTATACTCGACGGGTATTGCGAGACAAACGAATATCACTAGCGATATTATTTTCGATACTATATCCGCAATGAGTAATATATTTAGAACTACTTGGTTTTTAGTTGGGCATTAGCAGCTAGGAGCGTCGCTAAATAGGGGGAGGGGCTTATTTGTTTAATTGGCGGGCCGGAGTTCCCACCTCAACCATCAATTTTTCTATCGGCAAATTCTAAGTTTTGAATTGTCTGCAAGTGTTGTCTTTTTTTGTCTTCTTTCCTTTTGCTTGCTTGCTTCCTTGATGGCCTGAAAATTTTAATCTGAACCCATAAAAAAAAACTATTGTGAAATTCTTTCACCCCCCCCCCCTCTCCAAGTCCCCCCTTGAAAATTTCTAGTGATGCTCCTGGTAATGAAGGATGTACCAAAAACACATATTCACAATGAAGTTACCGGTAAACAAAAATATAGACTTAGAATTTTAAGATTTTGAATAAGTCAAATAATTGATGTAATCAAATATTTGTAACAGAATACTAAAGCGGTTTTGCTTCATTGCTATGTATATTTTTATATTAATGAGCGAACATCTGCAATCCTATGGTTATAAACAAAATAGGTACAAACTCCATGATTAAACTCTCCGTTCTAAGCAGTGTATCAATCTACAACACATAAACTTTCTGAACAGGTCCACAAAATATTGATTTTTATCCTTTTCTCGGTAAACGGTTCCTACTATTTATAAAGACAAGTAGATCAACGTTTTTAAACTGAATCAGTTTATTTACTTCCCTTTCAATATCACAAGTTTGCTCCATTGCAAACAAGAACTGCAAATTGGTATACGACGTCTATGGCAACTGTTGGGACAGCAACGCAGGCCAGCGGCCCAGGGGCGGCCAGGGGCTAATGGGAGGCTGGTATGACGGGTGCTCGGGTGAGTAGATAATAAAGTTCTAATTGCAAAGGGCATTTTCTCTAAAATTACTTCTCTCCACCCAGGTTGTGAATGGGTTCCTGCTAGGATGTGAATGCTACTGTTATTAGATTGGTAGTGCACCGAGTAAAGAAGAGTAAAGGCTAAAAAAGTGCAGGATTGTAGATACTGTGTGCATGAACAATTAAAGGGAATTGGTAACATTGTTCGGATGAGATATAGTGATGCTAAGGTAGTGACTTCAATGCTAGATGTACAATAAAAGATAATCTGACAAATTGAGTGAAAACGGATCATTATTCATGGTACAAATTGAGAAAAACTGATCTGATCGATTCCTTAATTCTCCCAACTATATTAGTACAATTTAATTACATTTAATGTGAATGTAAATCGTCACAAAGCAATAAAATGGCTCTACATTCCATTCCAGACATTTCAGTGTTGACAGATTTTTTATAGCCTGTTTTATGTCTTTTTTTTTATGGAAAAACGGTTTGGAAAATTCAAAAATGGTTGGGAGAATTTACTGTTAATCACTTTTAGAGGGTGTCGTACATCGACGCCTTCAAAGAAAATCATAGATATCTTCGTGGTTTGAGAATTTTGTCAGGATTTTTTGCTTGTCAGAGGGTCAGTACAGTAGAAGAAATAGAGTAAGTAACATTTTATACAAAAATTAAGCAATTTTTTCATCAACCTTCAACAATATTACCGAGTCACTTTAAATACTTCCAGGGGCGGATCTAGGGGGGGGGGGGGTTAGGAAGTTTAACCCCCCCCCCCCCTGGGGCCGGCCCCCAAAAAAAGTAAATCATTTTTTTTTTATTTTTTTTTTTGCGTGGCAAAATGATTTTTTTTTGTAGTGCTTTTTACCCCCCCCCCCCCCCGAAATTTTGGTCGGCACTTTTTTCAAATTTCGGGGTGCAAAATGATTTGTGTTGTTTTTGTTTTAGTATTCACTATATGAGAATATGCAGTCCTGATATATAATTTCCAAAGGGGAATAGTAAATAGGTCGGTCGATTGTAGTCGAGAAACATTGTTTTAAAGCGTGAGAGGGAGCGATACAAAAATAAAGAGTTTATTATTTACAATATTATTTCATCACTTTAGTCTCGATTTGAACCGCTACAACGATCATTGAATATTGTGAAAAAAATCGCAAATGCTTCCAATTATGTTCATTGAACCTAATTCATGACCATTATACTAAAACTTTGTTTTACCTTTCAGGTTGGATCCAAACATTTGACCGTCTGCTAACATACTCCTTCACCAAACCTTTCATGGAACCTAACAAAGTTACAATGTATGCAAAGAGCGGCAGCACACTCTCATACGATGATGTGACAAACCTGAATGTCGGGTTCGTTGATGGCTGGGCCTACGATGAGTTCTGTCTAGCCCGATACACGGACATTGCGGTATAGTTGGATTTTATTTTTATTTTATTTTGATAAATTTGTTTTAATTTGATTAGATTTTGTTTTGTTGTGATTTGATTTGGACAGGTTTGATTTGATTCGATTTAATTCGATTTCGATTCGATTCGATCTCTCAATCTCTATCTCTCTTTCTCTTTCTCTCTCTCTCTCTCTCTCTCTCTATCGTGTATGCCTACCATCGTTTTGCTGTTTATTTAGTTATTTCATTTTATTTCTAATTTTTTGTCAGGGTAGCCCATTGACCAATAAGTAGTGTTCTTCCATGGGTCCCTGAATAAACATGAACATATTAACATTAAAAAGCATAACGTTGATACAGAACACTTATAATAAATTCTATAGTACATTTTAAGATTTAACACAGCAGTTAATAGACGTGGCACAAACGAATACTCGTTTGCAAAATAATCATATATCATTAACCTAGTTCAACTGTAATGTCAATAGAAAAATGCTGTATTGTGGAGGCTAAGTTACCCTTTTCCCGATATGAATCAATAAAAAATAATCATAAATCTGATGGCCTTTTCTTTCGTTGCAGGGTTCGAGTCTGCGTCAAGACCAGATCATACATATCGCCTCATCAGATAGACTAGTTGAAGCACTCAACACTGGAGAGGTTAGTATATAAGGCCTACAAAAAAGATGTTGTATTGCCCTTTGCGACCGACCCCAAAATCTTGAAATCGGCTTTTAAAAAATAATAAAAATCCGTTTTTTTAAGAAGAAAAAAGTTTTCATCATCATCAACTTCAGGTTGGCACTGTAAAGCGCTGTTGTGGTCTTCACGAGAGCACGCTATGCAACTCTTTCACCTGCCATTTGTGTTGCACCTTTCATTCCTTGTCCAGACACTTTCTTGATATCATCAAAAAAGTTTCAAAGTATTCTAAACTGAGAAATAAAAGCCCAAAGAGAGAGTTTTTTTAAAAAATGTGAAAAAAACAAATTCCGACTGACCGACCCATGTTTTGGCACCCAAAGGATAATACAGCATTTTTTGGGGTAGGCCTAAACTTGGGGTACCGCTGATTTGATTTGATGTGAATTGATTTGATTTATTAATTTCTGCTTTTTGTCCATACAATAATAATCAGTAACAATATGAACATTTTGTACAGTGTGGTAATATTTTTTTCAAATCACAATGAGTGATTTCAAGTTGGGTGTTTAAGGCTGGTATTAGTGTTTAATAAACACTAACACCCGTCTAAACACCGAAATGGAAAACAGCTGGTGTTAAGGCTTTGACCTCTGAATATCGTCAACTTCCGGTAGCTAGTGTTATCGATTTTGCAAAATTGTCGTCTGCTGAACCGACCTTTGTGGCTGGTGTTAATGTTTGACGTACAAATGTCCTATTCACTAACACTAGCCCCTAGGGATTAAGCAAATGTTGATTTCCAGTTCGGTGTTAGTGTTGTACCGCACAACAGTCAACGCACGAACGACGCCAATTTATTGTCTGACGATCAAATACAAATTTGTGAAACAGGTAATTCATATATTCTTTTGTGTAAAATGAGTTATTTTATAAGACCAGAGAAATAGGTGTAAATTTATTCTGTACTTTTCATGATATCTTTAGTTTGTATGTACTATTTTTAAATCATCGTCGTGAAATCAAGTATGTGGTGACGTCACAGCTGGTGTTAAGCTATCGATTTTGATATCGGTATCGGGCTCTTAATTTCATCAGCAAATATTTCGCTCGATTTAAGAGCTCTTGACTGCTCTTAACACTAACACTAACACTAACACCCAACTTGAAATCACTCAATGAATAACACAATTTATGAAACAAAATGTTGAGAACGATCGATTGATTCCCAAATGTTGAGGGTTGGCAAGCCATTCATCCACATTTGCCGCTCTCCACATTGTGTACCTGGCAAATTCTGGGGGTAATGATTTATTGTAGGGCGCCCTCAGGAAGAACAGAACTGATACTGATTCGGATTACGTGGTTTACAAAGTTATCATCATTGTCGTTGTAATAGTTATCATTAATATTATGTATATCTATAATAACTGTTTTTATTATTATCACTATTGTTGTCATTATCATCATAATAATTATTATTATTGTCATCACTATTGATATTATTATTTTCGTTATTACCGGTAGTATTATTAATGATGATGAAATAAAACCGGCCCTACTTTTTTCTATATTTCCTTAGGCTATGCCATCTTTGTTTCAGTCCTCACGCAGTAAACCAGCGCTTTGATAAGAATCACGCCGCCAAACTTTCGAAATCCATGATTAGGAATCAGAAACTGGGACTACTTAATTACTTTCTTTTTTCGTTATGTCTGTAGGTCGATGTCATCTTTGTCTCAGCCCTAGCTCAATACGATACTGCCTTGATGAGAATCACGCCCTCAGACTTCCAGAATAAGTGTCTGAAAGGAGGGAATTCAGTCATGACACGTCACAATAACCGCGATTTCGTCAACTGGTGGAACGACGCGTTTGATCGTCTTGTCCAGAGAGGGCGCTATGACGAAATCTGCAAAACACTCTCCGAGAGGCATGGTAAGATAGAACTAAGTGATGCAATACAAAATGTCAGGCCCGTCGGGAGAGAGAAATAGAAGAGGGGAAGGGTAAAAGAAAGAGAAAATGGAGAATGGAGAGGATTGGGGAGAGTCAGAGAGAAAGGGGAGAGAGAGAGATAGGGGAGAGAAAGAAAGAGAAAAAAGGGGGGACTATAGAGATCGAGGAGGAACAAATCAACTATTTACGCTTAAAGACCGTCAATACTACTGGGCCAGAAGGGATTAAACCACCCAGCCAGGTCACTGACAGGCGGCTATGTCATCAACTCAGCTCTCAACTAACATAAGAAAAAGAGGATCATGGGACACCAACAGGCACCGAGTGGGGAAGTTTTTTATATAGAGGGAGCAAGAAGCTACAAGTAGGACAGTGGGGTTTAAACACAGTACCTAAAGGGGGTGTTCGTGTTATATCTTCAGGTAACAAATAACGTTTTTTTTTTTTTTTTTTTCGAAACAACGTATCTTTTCTAATACTGAATAAAAGCTACCCTTATTAATATCCAAAGTTAATAACTAATAATCAATACATGGGTGATGGATTCCTTTATGTATGATGATTATGCCTTGTTATTATGCAGTAATTCATTTGTTTAAACATTTTTTCTCTCCTTCTATAGGCCATATCCAAGGGCGGGATTATACTGAGCTTTGCATCGGCTATTAGCACACTTCTGATTGAAGGACAGCGTTTATCACGTGACTGCAGACATGTTTATAACGCCATTTTGTTGACGTCATTCTCCTTCAGCGTCTTTCACTCTTCATATAATTGTTATCATCACGTTTAGTGATGCAGCAATTACCAATGATGCTCAAAATGCTGTTTTATTGTATCTGTGAGATGGTTTAATTTTGTAATCTTTGTTTCCAAATTATTCTCCTTTTCATACCGTTAATTTTGGTGATGGTTTTTAAAATGTGATTTTATAATTTTGATTTACCTGTTTTTATAATAATAATAATAATAATAATAATAATAATAATAATGATAAATTATATTCATTTATATGGCGCTCTCATACAAGTTTTTTTTTTTTACAGTGCTTTATTATGGTATAAAGGTGTAGAAATCCGTTAAATAAATACGCTTTAGGTGCTTCTTAAAGGTGTCTAGTGATGGTGCTGTACGAATGTACAGTGCAAGATTTTCTTGCGTTAAAAAATTATCGCGGAAAATTTGTCGGAGGGGGGGGGGGGCTTCTAAAGCCCCCCCCCCCCCCCCGGGCTAAATAGGGTTAAGTGAGGTATTCAGAATTGAATAAATATAATCATAAAGGATTCTGTATGCTATGTTTGTACCATTTTCTTCATAACAATAACGATAATGTCTGATTGGATATGTGGTGTAAATGTTAATATACGTAATAAAGAGATTGGGGAAATGGACTTTCAGAAATTTGCCTGCTTCTCTATAAAATCTTGGTACATGTAAATAAACGTTATGCTTATAAGTTTTGAAGAGGAAAACAAACATGTCAGTAACCATTACTATATAAGCATTATGCCTAGTGGTATTTATCTGGGATGTAAAATAGGTGACATGCGATTGCCCCAGCCACCCCCCCCCCCCCTCCCCCGCAAAAAATAAGGGTAAAGGGGAAGCGGAACGTGAAAAGAAAGTACCCTTTTAAATTCGGCTTTCATCGTTTTTGTTGATGAGAAAAAAAAATTGCCCATGAATGATACCGGTGCGGCGGTGCCCACCCCCTCCCAAGTGTGTGTGCCTTCTCATCTGTGCTAGACGTATATACCCCGAGTCTTGATAATTATGTCATGATATATGATATTTCATACATTGATTTATATTTTCGATCGGAGCGGACATCTGACTAGGGTAAACTCAGCGACCAGAGAGAAAGATGTTATTGATCGCCAGTGGCGTACGCAGGATTTTTTTTTCAAGGGGGGGGGGGGTTAACATTTTTAAATCGGGCCAACTCAGCCAGCACACAAATATACAAATTAAAGGTGGGTTCAACCCCAACCCCCGTCCCCTGCGTACGCACCTGTTGATCGCTATGTGAGGGTGTATGCAATAACTCGCCCAAACTTAAATGGGACGGAGATTAGGAGAGATTTTTACTCTAACGAACAAAATACATGTACACCTTACTTGGAATAATCAGAAAGAGGGAGAGAGAGAGAGAGAGAGTAAGAGGGGGTGAAAGAGAGAGAGAGAGATAGATAGAGGGAGGGAGAGAGAAAGAGAGAAACATATATATTTATCACGGAAGAGGTTTACGGTACACCATGTGTAAAGTCCTCGAGGGACTGAGGAAAGTAGATAGAAATTAGAAGTGAGATGGAAAGACGAGAAAGTGGAGGTTCGAAGGAAGAGTATCTTTCGGAAGTGAGTATAGTCCTGAAAAGGACTGTAAACCAGAAAGTTGTAGGCAGGATGAGAGGTTTGAGTAGAAGATTGGATTGAGTTGGAGAGTTGAGTAGGCGAGTAGAGTTGCAGAGCAGGAGCAGGAGAGTAGACTCGACGTTTCGGACAGGTTGACTGTCCGTCTTCAACTTTCTGGTTTACAGTCCTTTTCAGGACTATACTCACTTCCGAAAGATACTCTTCCTTCCAACCTCCACTTTCTCGTCTTTCCATCTCACTTCTAATTTCTATCTACTTTCCTCAGTCCCTCGAGGACTTTACACATGGTGTACCGTAAACCTCTTCCGTGATTATTCATACCACCATGCAAACCTTAAAACACCATATATATTTATACAACTCACTTCCAGATCCTAGTTAAATGATTGGTCATGCGCGGTCACGTGTGATTCAATTACTGAGCCTATTGCACTCGTTTTTATGAAAAGGAGTGTAATATTTGCAGTACTATTGAACTCGTTTTCAGAGCGCGCAGTAGTGCGCGTAGAGGTTAGAGCGCTTACTGCGTGTACATGGGCCTATTCTTGCGCAGCACTATGCGTAGATGATTGTTGAGGTAAGTGCGCTTGCTATATCTATACTTATGTGTGCGCACTAAATCGAGACTTATTAAAACTTGAGATTTATTTGTCAGCCATATACTGTCACGAAACAATCTTGAATTAATTTTTTTTACATCAAATAACAAGGATCTAGGAGTTTCGTTGTATAAAACAAATGATGCATGTTTTCATTCGTTTATTATACGATCTATCCGCCCTCGTTGGTGCTGTGTGTATATTTCGCACTCAGCCTATAAACGGCTTCGTGCGATAGATACACACAGCCTCAACTCGAGTGCGGATAGATCGTATAATGAACTCATGCGCATGCATCATTTGTATAATATATATATATATAAACACAGAGAGACAGACATAAAGAAAAGGGGATTTATTCCAATAATGTATATGATGTTCGTAATAGCATGTCTAAATCTTTTGTACACAAAAGGAATCCATGTTCAGCATGGAACATTATTTTTAGTACCATTCTGATTTATATGGAATAGTAGTTGAATTAATATTGTAATAGCCCTTTAGTTTAAGGTCCGGGAAGCGGGGGGGGGGTAACTTAGCTGGAAAGGAAACCAATTTTCACATGCACAGATGTGAATATCGCATAGCCTCACATAACAAATTGACCGTCTGGCATGTTCTAAGTGGTGGGTGTGGCCAGGGGATGCCCCCACCAACAAAGCGGCCCTTTTGACAACAAACTTGTATTTTGTAAATAATATTTTAAGGAAACCTTGAACCACCACGAGATTGGTGTCATATGAAAGAAAATTAAATTACCTACGTTATGATACCTATTCCAACGAAATTAAGATTAATTAACATCGCACATTTAAGTAAAAAAAAAAAACATGCATATACGTGCATTAGTGTATTAAGGACCTGTTTGGTGTGTTTACATCGAGTTTTACGGATAACTTCTAATTAAAACCTCTAATCACCATGACTGTATTTGGTGTCAAAAAAGAGGTGTGATAGCTCAGTCAGTAGAGCAGTGGTCTCGTAATCTGGTGACCCCTTTCCTTTCTCATAAATGCCCTTTTTCATCTATAAAAAATAGTTCCTTTTCATCTCTTGTAAATGACCCTATTCATTTCTGAGAGATACCCGTTTATTTTAACATGACTGTGCCTCTCTTTCCTTTTAATAACAGCCACTTCCCCCTTCTCATTACCCATTTAACAATGATGTGCCAAATTTCCTTTCTTATAAGGAACCTATCCCATTTTCATAAATGCCCCTTTTCACTTCTTATAAATGCCCCTATCAAAATCTGATGGATGCCTAATTTCCGTCGACAAATGCCCATTTCCTTTTCATCTCTGGTTGCATGCCTCTTTTTTATGTGTAAGAAGTGCCACATTTTCACCTCTGATGATTAGCCTTTGTACTTTGACACGTGCTCCTTTTCTTTTCTAATAAGTGTCTTAACCCTTTCGATAAGTGTCCCCTTTTCCTCTCATCATTAAACGTGCCCCTAATTTCAAGCGACGAAGAGCAATTTCCCCCAAAGCTGGCTTGCTACGCTCGCTCGTAGTTATAGATATTATTATGTAACTTATCAAAAATCTTTTCAGTCTTCCATTATGAGAATGTGCTTATAACCCCATCAGGATTGGATTTTTCCTTTGTATAACATGTATATTTCCGCACTGCGACCTCACAATTCTTTAAAAAAAAAATCCTCGCTCGAAAATGAATTTTCAGACCATCACACTCAACTGCAAAGTATGATGCTTAAGCAATTTATTATAATATGTATAAAGAGAAACAAACATTGAAATTATCCCCGATAATGTAATCACAATATACCAATGTCTAAAATTGGTTATATTTTCGCTTTGAGATTTCCCTTTGAAGGTGCCCCTTTTTTCCAGAAAGTTCCCTTTTTGTTTGTGCCCCCCCCCCCACTTTGGAACTCGCTCCACCGCCTCTGATCTCTCCCTCCCTCCCTCTCTCTCTCTCTCTCTCTCTCTCTCTTTCGCTCCTTTCCCTCGATCCTACTCTCCTTTTTTCGAGCTACCTCTTTCTTCACTTCTCTTCTCTCCCTTTCAGTTTCAAGATCTTCTCTTTTCGATCTAATTCTCTCTCATTTCAATTCTTCTCTTAATTCTCTTCTCCTATACTCTGGCTCCATTTTCTTCTCTTCCCTTTTCTCTGCCCCCCCCCCCCTCGGGGGGGGGGGGGGGGAGGGGGATACTCACATATTAAAATATCCGCTCTAATGGGTCACTTTTTCACACAAAAATCCCTAAACATGGGTCCCATTTTGAACAAAAATATCCCTAAACATGAGTCCGTTTTTTCAAAATTGTGAAAATTCGGCCTTTCAATTTCGAAAAAAAACCCTCAAATTATCCTTAAAAATGGGTAGGGGTTCGGAGCTTGGGCAGCACATCCCCGTCCAAAAAAAAATATTAGTCCCCCCCCCCCCCCCTTCTTCCCGGCGAGCTTTTCTGCTCTTCTCGTCTCTTTCACCACGGTGGTCGATCCAGTTTGAGTTCAAGCAATAAATTCTTCACCTGTCATGTTAAGAAAAGATGCCACAATTAATGATGACAAGTAAATTCATAAATTATTTTTTCTTTTCTTTTTATTTCCAATAAAAAATATACATACATTTTGATTTAAACATAATATATATATTTGAGATATATAAATGAATTAGTACACACACAGATTTTGGTATATATATATATATATATATGGTTGAAGTCACGAGAACTATGATTA